AAATAATATACAAAACTAAGGTAATTTTTTTAAATAACTAAAGGTGAAAATGAAAATTTTGTCTTCTTACTGCTCATTCTAGAAGGTGCTCCAGAATCATTAGACTCATGTTTCTCAAGGTGTGGGCTGTAAGTCAGAGACATTGATTAGGGAGCTTAATTAGAAATGCAGAGCCTTAGGCCCCAGTCCTACCTACTGAGTCAGAATCTGCATGGGAGCAAAGACTACAGGGATTTGTGCTCACAGTAACGTGAGAGAAACAACGGCCTAGTGTTCCTCAGCTGCCTCCTCATCACCACCATCTGGTGAAGGTGGACAATGGCTCCTCTGCATCCAGGGTCGGCACTGTTCATCAATGACGCATTGCATCCAAAGATGAGTGCAGATAGTAACAAGCAGAGAGAGAGAAAAGAACAGAAATGCTCCTATGTGGGGCGTAGGGATGGACTTGCTGTCCCAGCCAGTGTCACTGTGGCTCTGTCTCACTGGGGTCTGCCTAACACGAAGCACCCTGTGAAGTGACATTTCTCAATCTATGGGCTGCATATGTTCTCATGGGGCCTTGTGGCCTTCTTTTTTGTGGACCTATGTTTTAATTTCAATGATAATCTTTAGAATAATATTATCAGAACCACACAGTCCTCGAGCACATTCATACATTCTGCTTACTTCCAGTGAGGATGCTATATGGACAAAGGTTTTGCAGGAGTTTGGAAAGAGGAAAATGCTGGGAAGGTTAATTCCCTAATCCCATGGTCAAAGTTTTACATTTAGAAGAATCTGCTCCACTACAGTTGGTGAGTATTCCTCTTGCAAGCAGATCCCACCGTCATATATATGCACCAATTGCAGAAATTCATTAGCAGCAAGCCTAAGAGTAAATATACAACAGCATGCTTTTATTACGCCTCATTCAGTCCGAATTGGATCTGTTATCCATTAAATGCATATTTCAATTGCCCTGCATTACTAATGTGATCCTCTGTACAAGACAGTTTTATGAAATAATTTTAATACTTGACATTCATGGATTTCCCACTGACAGCTTTGCTTATGTGTGAAGTAAAATGTTATTGAAATAGAAAATGGTCTTTAAAATATTAAATTACCTTGAAAAGTATTTTTTGGAGAATAGGTATTAATAATAGTGAAGTCACATTGGTACAACTGAAATTATAAAAAGGAAACAAAAAAATAGATAAATCAGACATGAGACAGTGTTTGAAATTTAATTTCAACAAAATATCCTTCTCTAACGCATTAAGTTGATTTGAATATTTCATCTTTATAGCTTCACTTGTACTTAATTTATAAATTTGCTTTGATTTTATAATTATGTAATAACTATAAGCATAGTTTATGTGTTATACAACTTTACATATTTAAATAACATAGTAAAAATAATTCAATAATGAAGGCTCATGATCATTATTTATTTTAAAAGAAAATGTCCATTAAAAATATTTTTTTTAAACGGTAAGGGATTTTGATGCCTTTCTTCTTTCATTAGTTCTCATTATGTAAATTTAAATATTCTAATGAAAATAATGTATGAACCTGGGAGAAAAAGAAAGACAAGGAACAAGAAGAAACTTGGACCTCTCTCAAGTATAAAGTACATTTAACTTAATGATTTTATTTTTCTAAAACTTAAGGAAAGCAGTAGTTGAAAAATAGATGTCCAGTATTTAAATTTGAGAAGCATTCTTTGGGGGGCTGCTCCTCTGATTCTATGTACACTAGGACCTACTATCTAGGATGAAGAGTTACACAGGTTTTACTCCCTGTATCTACCTTTAATCTGCCTTGAAAAGATTCTTTAATGGAGTGTTTTATTAAAATAACAAAATTCATTGACTAAAATAGCTGAGCTCACACTACAAAATAAGAACTGTTAGGTCATTTCTACTCTGTCTTCCTCCGAAAAGGATTTTAATAGTTTTAAAATATAAATAGACATTGCAAGATAAGAGAAGAGTAAAGCGGATGAGGGAAGCAGGACAAATGAAGATAGGAGAGACAGACAGAGAACAAGTGGACTGGCCTACCTATCCCAGCTTGGACAGATACACTCAAGTCTCCCTAGCCCAAGCTGGACACAGACATACTCAGGTCTTCCTGACTCAGGCTGGACACAGATACACTCAGGTCCTCCTTACCCAGGCTTGACAGAGAACCACTCAGGTCCTCCTCCTAGCCCAGGATGGACGCAGTTATACTCAGGTCCTCCTAGCCCAGGTGAACCTTGCCTGCCTTGCTCATCCCATACCCCTAGGATCTTTCAGAGCCTGACAAATTGTACATATTCTATAAATGAATTTTTAAAAATATTTTATTGATTATTTTATGTGTATGAGTGTATTGCCTGCATATATGTAAGTGCACCTGCATCATGCAGTGCCTGTGGAGGTCAGAAGAGGGCATCAGATCTACTGGAGCTGGTGCTATGGATGTTGTTAGCTGCCAAGTAGGTACTGGGAACCAAACCCGGGTCCTCTGTAAGTCAGTGCTCTTAATTGCTGAGCCATCTCTCCAGCCCCATAAATGAATTTTAAAAGATGGATCACAATAGGGAGATGGGAAATTATAATTTAAAATATAGGAATAAATCAATTGTTCAGCAATATGTTACTGTATCTCAGAAATTATTTCCCATAAATATCTGACTATAGGTTTATATTTTCTCTTGTAGTTAGTTTAGACATAAGCATATTTTACACATCCAGTTCAAATAACTGAAATGAAGCCATTAGTATTTATATCACTTTTAATTAGAGTTCAATACTAAATTTAAATGGCTCTCCAAACACACCTATATATAGTTAGTGATACAAGAACAAATAATTATACTGCATCCAAAACTTCTGTCATGCACACTGAAATCTCAGGAACCTTATGATTACACTAAAGAAGAGTCCAAGCAATTTGTACCTAATTTAGGCAGGGCATCTGCCTTGGGTAGTAGTTTTCATTGTCAACTTGACATAGCCTAGAGTCACTTGGGAAAAGCTGAAGAATTGCCTAGATCAAATTGTCCTGTGGGCAAGTCTGTGGGGCAATGTCTTGATTGCTAATTGATGTAGAAGGGCCCAGCCCCCTGTGCGTGGTGCCATTCCTACACAGGTAGTCCTGGGCTATACAAGAAAGGTAGCTGAGCAAGCCAAGGAAAGCAAGCCAGTAAGTGGCATTCCTCCATGGTCTCTGCTTCAGCACCTACCTCCAGGCTCTTGCTATGACTTCCTGCCCTGAGTTCTCTCAGTGATGGACTGTTACCTGGAAGTGTAAGCTGAAATAAACTCCTGCCCAAGTTGTTTTTGGTCATAGTGTTTATCACAGCAACAAAAAGCAAATTGGGACAGTATCTATTGTTGTCAAGTATGTGCCTATTGGTATGAATTCATCTTGTGAGCAACGGATGGATCAGAGATTATATAACTGAAACTCATTTTCTTCCCCCATGTGGTAAAGATGAGCTCTTCCCTACCACTAAACCCTTATTTCACAGCCTTTCATCCCATATACCTTTCCTCACAGTGTGAATTTTGCATAGATTAAACACTTCCACAGCACCAACCCATTTACAAAATGGTTTTTTATGTCCCAGTTAGTCAGGTGCTCGGAGGATAAATAACAGAACAGTTATAGAGAATATGCAAAAATCCCTTCATCCCTCCACAAGGTTCATCAAGGACTGTCAACCACAGAGTGGGCATTTTTGGGCCCAGGTATGGTTGGATAACAACAAGCAGGATTGCTTTATGGATACCAGAGAATGAAGCTTTACCTCTCTGTTTGAGGTGATAATTTGAAATACCAAGGCTTGGGATTGTTGGATGTCATCTGTGTTGGTTAATTTTATATGCCAATTTGGCTGGACTATGATTCCCAGATATACGAGCAAACATTCTGGATGCTTTAAGTGAGAGTAATACTTAAATAGGTGGTGTTCAGTAAAGCAGATTTCCTTCCATGATGTGTGGGTGACTCACACAATAAGCTGAAGGCCTGTTAAGACTAAAGACTGACTTTCCTCAAGCAAGAAAGAATTCTCCAGCCTGATGGGCTTTGGACTTGAACTGCTCTCCCCTGGCATTCCACCATAGTGGCCCACCATGTAGAATTTAGATTTAACAACCTCTATAATCCTGTGAGTCAGTTCCTTAAAATAAATCATGTATAATGTATGTGCATGTGTATAGACAGATATGTGTATGCACGCATGCACGCATGCACACACGCATGCACACATGCACACATGCATGCACACACGCACTCACACATTCTATTGGCTATTTCTCTGGAGGACACTGACCAATACACCGTGTTTCCCATTTCTTTTCTTTCTTTATCTTTAAATTTTTTGTTGAATTTTTGGATTTTCATATTATTCTATGGTTTTTAGATTCTCTCCCCCATCCTCATCCCCCCTTGCTGCCCCTGTCCAATCTAACATACTCTATTATATATATATTATGTGTATTACATAAATAATAAGGCATATGGAGTCCATTTGTGCCCCAAATGTCCTTCAGTGTGTGCCCATCCACTGGCATCTGATGAACCTACTAAGAGTCACATCCTTGAAAGACACTGACTCTCCCCCACTCAGCAGCCATCAGTTGCCAATAGTTGTTCTCGTAGAAACAGGGTTCTGTATTAGTTACTCTTCTATTGATATGATAAAACGCCATGACCAAGGGAACTTATAAAAGGAAAAGTTTATTTAGCTTACAATTCCAAAACGGCAAGAGTCCATCATGGCAGGAAGTGGCTGGAGTCAGAGCAGAAGCTAAGTGCTCACATCTTCAAGCAGGCACCAGGAAGCAGTGAGTGACTGGAGATCCAACAAGGCTTAAGAGCTCTTTAAGCCCCCAGTGATGTGCTTCCTCTAGCATGGCCACACCTTCTAAGACCTCCCAAAACAGCTCCACCAACTGGGGACAAAATGTCCAAATACTTGGAGCCTATAGGGAACATTCTCATTCAAATGTCCACAGGTTTCTTACCCACTTCTCCATGTCTGTGCTGAGATTTTGTCTGGTTCAAGTTTGCATGGGACTTGTGAGTTCATATGCATAACTGACCACCTGTCTTCTTCTTATTTCTTAAAGAAAGAACATCAGTTGTCATTGAGATGGAACCAACTTAAAGAAAGACAGATTATCAATGGACTGACAGAAGGACAAGCAGACTAAATAACACATGAGTTCATTTTCCCATCTATACCAGTTTAACAGGAGCCAATAAACCTTTTGCTTAAACTTGGATTTCTGATATCAGAAAACAAACTCCTAACACAAATTTAATTTTTTCTTATTCAGATTCAGTGGTAAAAGATACGTGCAGCAATTATATTCATTTATAAGAAATATCACAGTAATTTCCATGTAAAAATGAGTCCCAAGTCCTTGCAGTCTGTTCAGTCTACATGTGATTTATGTTTTTTACATGATACTGCGTTTCAAAAATTTAAAAGGAGTTTTCCTGTACATTTTATTTGACCTTGGAGTTTATTTGGGGACAGCTTTGTCTGTCCTGTATGAAGTGTTGCTACCAAATCCTCTACTAGCTAATGGTGCTGCTGAGGAACTGGAACATTGGTGTGTCTGCCTGGTGGGGGCCTTCATGTTTGTGCCTTCAGTATTCCCAGCTGCAAATGTTAGTTTCCCAAAAGTACGATGAAGGCGAGCTTCGCGATCCAATTTCCACTGTGAGTTACAAGACTAAGAATCATTATTTTCATTTAATATTTTCATTCCTTGTTAGAATGAGATCTTGCTCTTTACCTGAAATGTTGTTGATTTGTTATGAATGGATCTGCCTTCCCTGTGGCTATGTTGTTCATTCTGCTTATGATGTACGGAGTTCCCCACTCAATATTCCAGCCATGGTGTTCAGTAACGATGTGGGCACTCTTCACATCAGCTCACTGTAGGGAGGACATTGCTTTCCCATAGGACTAACAAAAGGAAAGGCTTCAAATTGCTTATGACTATTTATTAGAAGCAAATCTTCAAACACAGCAAAACAAAGCAACCAGAACTATTCTTCTTTCCTATGGAGAAGGAACAAGAACAACGCATCATCTCCTTGCATTCAAAGACAAAAGAGTCGAACTTCAAAACACTTCTCAATTTAAAATTTCCTGTTTATTTACACCCATTATAATGCAATTACTTGTGACTTGTTTAGCATCTGCTATAAAAGAAATTAAATTAACCAAAACACAACAAAATGAATGCATTTAATAAAGCAAAGAAAAAGTCTCACCAGCCTTCCTGTGTTGCAAATTGTTAGAAGAATTCCAGTGGTCAGCTGTATGAGTTCGTTTTACCACATTCTAAAATACGATTCTATAATAAAATTCGTTGGAAACATTGGGGTAATTTTTAATACTAAGCCATCTAGATGGATCTTGGATTTTCAAAACCTGGATTACGTTGGCATATTTTGTTTCCAACCTGGAATCTAAACTGCCCTTGCTTTTTCCCCAAGAGCATCATGTGCATATGGGGCCATTTGAATTATTATTATTCCCTGGGCAGAGAATCCAGCAAGCACATTGCATCTGGGTCGTAGTTTTCCATAGAGCAGAAAATGGTCACATTTCAAGTTATTACATGAAGCATTTCAAGTTATTTCAGCCCATGTTATAAGAAAGCAATGCCATCCATACACAGCCGTCGTCCTTAATGTCCTCACTGGTCCTGTGCTTGCCTTCCTGTCTCACAGTGTGCCCATTCAGTTCTTCACTGTGTTAGCCCTCTCTCAATTACAACATGAGTACCTTGTAGGAACAACAGCCCACAAAATTTAGTGTCCTTTTCACCCCATCCAGGGTTTCACCACACTGAGAATTAAGCACGTCAGACGCAGGCCATTTCTCCACTGGCAGGTCTCTCACTTCACTGTGGAATGATTGATAACCTTGGATTTTCACGAATTTAAGAGTATACCTAAGATACTGTGTCACACGCGTTGTCACGAGCTTTTTAGTTCTGACTCAAAGGCCAAAACCATTCTGTGTTAAGAGAAAACTGTATCTGGGCGTGGTGGTGCACGCCTTTAATCCCAGCACTTGGGAGGCAGAGGCAGGTAGATCTTTGTGAGTTCGAAGCCAGCCTGGTCTACATAGTGAGTTCCAGGACAGCTGGGGCTACAGTGAGGCCCTGTCTCAAAGAGACAAAAAAAAAAAGAGAGAAATTGTGACACAATTTCATAGACGGAAGAACTGAAAGTTGACCAGAAACTTCATCAGCATCTGAATTCCATCTAGAGGCAGATATTTTGCAAGCAGCCCACAAAAGAACCAATAAAATAACATACCATTTTCACTCATGCACTAATGAGAGTTTCCCGACTATCTGAACATTGAAAATGAAGAGTCAATGAGAGTCACATTTAAGAATTCTGCTAACTCAGCAGTGGGACTTTTCCAAACCGTTGTGGGTGGCCAAATGACTGTTCCATCAAAGCCAGGAACTACCCTGGAACGGCTCCACAAAACAGAAAGGAGAGATGGAAAGTTTAATTAAAACGAGCTCCTTGGAGCTAGATCACTCTTGTTGTTTAATTAAATTGTAGACACCTCAGATAACTAAATATCTAAGTGATATATCTTATTTCTCAGGCACTTTTTGATTTTGATCTTTTCCCCACACAAAGTTCACAGCCAGCCAGATCGGATGTGTCTTTCCTCTCCCTAGGGAGAGTACTCAGCATTCTACAGTCTCATTTACTAGTCCCTTCCCAGATCTTCAGGGGTGATAGGACATGACATTTTTCCCATTGCCCTTTCAGGAGACTTCTTTCTAGACCTTCAGCCCATTGGAAATGACATCAAGATCTAAACTTTCAAAGGTCATGGAATCAACTGTGCCCATATATAGCCTGGATCATTTTGGAGATGCAGAAAGGTAGACCTGCTCTTAATATATTACCATTCTTACCAACAGGATTCTGAAGCAGGCTGAATCTGAAATACTAGGCTGCCTTCTGGATTTAGCAGAGCCATGAGAAGTGTCTCCACCATCTAGGAGCTAAAATGCAGTTATGGTGAGGACTTCCCTATCACCTTCGCTCTTTGGCCTTGTCTGTGGGTGCTCATGGACAATCCTAGGCCAGTGCAGGAGAAGGAAGGGATCTTGCAACCAATTACCTGCAATCTTTCTTTTTTTTCTCCCAGTTGATCCCCTCTGAATTGAAATGCACTCTACCAACCTGAAACCAAATATCCTGTTCTAGCTTGTTCTCTGTGATCTACCCTCAAATCCCTTCCATTTAACCCATCCTCAGAGAGTAAGGGTAGTCTATGGGCATAAATGAATAAGGTGACTGGTGAGCTACTAAAAGACTCAAAATATCCCAAAGAATATTTCCCTTGGGTCTGCCTCAATATTTATGTACTTTCAATACTGAAATGCCCTTTGGGGGCTGGAGAGATAGCTAAGTGGTTAAGAACACTGGCTGTTCTTGCAGAAGACCCAGGTTCAAATCCCAGCACCCACATGGCAGCTAACAACTGTCTGTAACTCCAGTTCCAGGAGATCTGGCTGATCTGCAGGCATTGCATGACATGGGTGCACTTACATACATGCAGGCAATGTACACATACACATAAAATAAAAATAATAAATTTAAAAACAATTTTTAAAGAGAAAAAGAAAGAAATGCCCTTTGGAAGAAGAGAAGATAAAATTTCTCGGGGCATTCAAGGTGAAGTTCAAATGTGTGACTTGGAAAAGAACTCATTCACCCAGGAAATACTCACTGACACTTTACCAGGGTTATTCACTTTCTCATAAAAGACTGAGGTGTACTGGACTGAGATACAGATTCAACCACAGGATTCAAGAGCCAATGAATAGATGAAGAAAATGTGATGTATGTACAGTGGAATACTATTCCGCTTTAAGAAAGAAGCCTGCCATTTATAATAACATGCATGAATCTAGAAGACATTCTAAGAAGTACAATAAACCAGGAGCTGTGAGAAAAACACAATGCTAATTTCACTTAGCATGCCCCTACTTATATGCGGGATCTAACAAAGATGAATTCATGGAAGTAGAAAGCAAACAATAGTAATCAAAAGCCGGAGAAGCAGTGGATGGGAAGGGAAAGTAGGGGGAGTTGCTGATCAGCATTCAAAGTTACAGATGGACAGAAGGAATACGTTTTGAGGTCTGATGCACAACAGCTTGACTCTCATCAGTAACAATGTACTACACATTTCAAAATAACTGAGATGCCAAGTTCTCACCATAAACATATGACAGGTAAGTGAGGTGGTGGGTGTGCTAATTAGCCTTATTTAAGGAATCCACATTGTAAACCTATATCAAACATCACATTGTATCCCACAAGTGTATACTTTTGGCTAGTCAATCAAAGTAATACTGATAAGGGATGAGGAGATGGCTTAGTGAGTAAGAGTGCTTACTTTGCTAGCATAAGAACCTGAGTTTGAATCCCCAGTATCCTATTTTTTAAAAAGCTAGGCACGGCTGCATGTGCCTGAAATTCCAGCATTTTGGAGTAGAGACTGGTGGATCCCAAGTGCTCACTAATGAGCCAAGCTAGCCCTAAAAGTAGGTTTCTAGCTCAGTGAGAGACTCTGCCTCAAGGGAATAAGGCAGAGAGTGGTAGAGGACGACATCATGTGTCTTTATGTACACATAAGGTCATGTGCACCCATGCACTCACAATGCATGCACCATACACGCCATACCACAGCTCCCCCACACACTTATTATTATTTTCATAGTAATTCTATTTATGATCTGGGAAATTTTAGCACAGCTGGGAAAGATGAGAATAGCGGTCTCATGGCACAAGAAGAACTTTAGAGTTCATTTCAACCATGTTCAAAAATAGAAAATGAGATTCTCTCCATTTTTCTTGTGTGTGGAGGGTGTGTGTTTGTGAGTATGTGAGCAGGTGTGCATGCACAAGTGGGGGCAGGGCAGAGAACAAGCTCAGAATATCATTCCTCAAGAGCTGTCCACCTTGTTTTTTTTTAAGACAGGGTCTCTCAGGCTAGGTATGGTGGTGCGTGCTTCTAGTCCCAACTTGGGAAGCAGAGACAGATGGGTTGCTGTGAGATTGAAGCTACCCTGGGATGGTCTACATAGTGAGTTCCAGGCCAGCTGGGGTTACATACTGAGTTTCAACACAAAAACAAAAACAAAAAGACAGGATCTCTCATTGGTTTGGAACTTGCAAATTAGTCTCAGCTAGCTGGCCAATGATTCCCAAGCATCTGATGTCTCTGCCTCCCCAATGCTGGGATTATAGGTGTGTACCACCATGCCTGGATTTTTACGAGGGTGCTTCAGAGGCAATACAGATTCTAATGCTTATAAGGCCAATGCTTTACCCACTAAGCTGTTGTTCCAGCCCCTCTCTGTAATGAAGTAAACATTTACATTTGAAGTAGCATAGAATCCAACCATGGGTCTTTTATTCCTTGTCATGTGCTCTTTCTATTTTATGATTTTGGAAAGAATAGCATAGCTTCAAGAGACCAGGATCTGGTATTAGCCATACACAGGGAAGAAGCAGGCACACTGAGCTGCAGACAGTGGGGAGAATGGGAGACAGAGTCAGAGACATCTACCTACTAAAGCCCAGATTGTTTCTCTAACACCAACAGACTTCATGACTTTGGTGAGAGAGCTAAGGAGAGGGAGGTAGTAGCATACTTCCCTAAGGCACAGTCCTGAGGGAATGAGAAATGAAGACAGTATCTGGGAAAGAACATAAGAATGAGAGACACTTGAAGAAGTCAGACTTGGGAGATCCAGTGGTGGCCTGACAAAGTGATGCTAAAAGTGCCTAAATAAGACCCCGAGTAACTTCAGATGAGTTTTTAATTCCACATGTTGGCCTATGACAGGTCCCATAATAGCTATATAATAGAGGCTTGTTTTGATGATGTTGGGATCCAATTAAATGCCAGACTGAACATAGACTTGGGTAAAATCCTACCTGAATTTTGTTTTTGATTTTTCTTGAGACACAATCTTGATATGTAGTTCAGGATTACTTCAAACG